AGCATTTGCTGGTCTCCCCACCCCCCCCCTTTTTACTCAACCAAACCAGATCTGAAATTGTTAAAACTATTTTATAATTGTATCCTCCCTAGCCTATCTCAGTGGTAACCTTTGTCAGCTGGCTGCTACACATTATAGAATAAACTCTTAAAAAATAAGCCTTAAAACTACCCAAACACATGACATAGATTCAAGTGATGTATATTAAGGTAATTTGAAAAGATTAGAAGCTCAGAACCTTTGAATCAAGATTTTTCCAACTGCTAATGTCATGTATTTCATCTCTGAAACATAATTACAAGAATGTTTTGCTCTTTTTCCACCAAACGCTATGCCATTAAAATTGTACATTTGGAAGAGTTGACTATACTTGGAATAAATTAGCGACCTCCTTTCCTCCAGAGTTCTCCATCGGGGAAAGCACTGAAGTAAAAGTTCGTCTTTTGACTTTGGGTCAGAAAAGAAAAGATTCTAGCAACCCACAACTCTTCCAATGGACGGCCAAACACCACTGTCCTTAGGAAAAGATCTTGAAATGCTGTGCCCTAAATGGCAACAAGTGAAGGGTTTCTCTGGCAGCGAAGAAAACGTAACTCACGAATTTGTAAGGTTTACATGCTAGGACTAGGTGGAAATTAAGTGAGAGTGAATTGATTTCCACCTTCCCTCTCCAAAGAGTGCAGAAAAATTTAAGAATCAACCATTTTTAAATTTATATCAAGGCAAAAAAAAAAAAAAAAAAAAAAAAAAAAAAAAAAAAAAAAAAAAAAAAAAAAAAAAGCCCTAACCACATACTCACAAGAAAACCTTTTACTAAAAGTGTGAAACTTACTGGTTTAATACAGGTCAGATGTATCTTTCAACTGCAACCACTAAAGTAAAAGTGCCTGAAAATCCTCCCACTCCTGTATTTTTTACTCCTTTGTTGTTTTTTTAAAGACATTCCCTTGCTTCTTAAACCCCTTATAATTCATTTTCAGCCCCTGAGAACAATGTTTATTAAAGACAAATCCATTTCTGAAGACAAAATCTTTTTGCTTGTTTTGAAAACATTTAGTGATCCAAGGACTTCAGAGCAAATCACTTAAAATTAAAAATAATATTTTTGCCACTTACAGGACATCCCCTTCGCACGGATTTCCAAAGCTGCTAACTTTGGGAAGTTCAACTGTAAAATCAGAATAAAGTGGAAGCCCTTTTGGAGGGTTCCCACGCTTCCGTGGCTCTGACACCCAATTTGTTTGGGCATTTTTTTTAGTAAGAGTTGGAAAATTAAAGGGAAAGGGGTTAGCCCGCCTCATTTTAAGTCAGCTTAGAGAAAAGAACCACCATTAACCTGCCTAGGAAAATCAATCTTTTAAGTTGAACACATTTCATGCAGAAAGGCAGTGCCCCTCTTGCATTTTTCTCTTAACAGCCAACACCTTTTATTTTTATGACAGCAGTTGACAGTAGGTATGCTGTCTTTACGTCACATTCCTCCAGAAAAAGGCACACACAATGGCAAATGAAATAAAAGTTTAATTCCCTTAAAAAAGCAAGTCATTTCCCAAGGTAAACAGGTCTAAAATGGGGACTCCCCCCTTACCTTAAGGACTCTTATGTCTCTCAAAATAAAACACATATATGAACCCTTTCCACAACTGTTTTAAAAATGCTCTTGGCTTTTCTCCGCTGTCCTAATATTTGACAGTGAATATACACAAATTCTCAGCAAAAAGCCAAAACTGTTAGCCAGAATTCCAACACTGTCTAAGAAGGGGTTTGGGGTGCCTGGGTGGCTCAGTCGGTTAAGCGTCCGACCTCGGCTCAGGTCATGATCTTGCGGTCCGTGAGTTCGAGCCCCACGTCGGGCTCTGTGCTGACAGCTCAGAGCCTGGAGCCTATTTCAGATTCTGTGTCTCCCTCTCTCTGACCCTCTCCCATTCATGCCCTGTCTCTCTCTGTCTCAAAAATAATAAATAAACGTTAAAAAAAAAAAGGAGTTTGGCTAAGAAGGGGTTTGGAAAGGTGGAAGAAATCGAATGTCACCCGATTAAAAATTAAAATTAAACATGTTTTCAGTTTAAATACATAGTGCTCGGTCTCTTGGGTTCTTAAAAAGGTACAAATTATATTCAAATAGATACAAACTTAGAACAAAATAGACTCATACTTCAGTGTCAGGGATGCTAAGGTAACTGCTGTAACCTTCTATCATTTGTCTGATCCCCCCCCCAAAAAAAAAACCAAGCAAACAAACAAAAAACAGGAACACGTAGGATTTAGACTTTCTTGAATCTCTCAGAAATGTGTCAAGTCATATCTCATTTGGAACTGAGTGCACCAAAAATAGTTACTTCTATTTCTTTAAACAGTGAAAAAAAGTACATATACACAAAATACACATGCATAGTTGTTCATCTTGCTTCAAATATTGGTTATAGTTACTTCACTAGATCCTGTTTTTTATACATCCACGAGACTGAAAAGGCCAGTCCCAGACCAACTGAAGAACTGGTTTTCAGACAGACTAACTAAAAACACATACCACAAAATGCTTCCTTCAAAGAACTCAAAATGATAGAGCAAACGGACTTCATGCAAACAAACTCTTTTTTTAAATCCTAAAACTTCAAAAATTGATTCATTTTAGAAAAATGAAGGGCCTTCTCACCACCCCGCAAACACACACACACACACACACACACACACAACTGACTCAGTGTTTGAGCTCAAAAAATTATTTCAGGGACGGGAAGAACACACAAAAGATGGAATTTAATATGGATGGGGAAAGGAAGATTTTGTACCCACTCTTCTCACAAACCCCACCCCTTCCCAACTCAAAAGGGCCCTAAGTAATGCATTTTGGAGGGAACAAGAAGGAGCCTAAAAATGGCTTGAAAGCAAACAGATGGCTTAGGGGGTAAGATCCATAAATACAGAGCACCATGGAAATTAAAGTATAAATGTTTTGGGTCCCATTTCATCACGTTTTGCTATTTCTCTTGCCTTCGATGCATTCTCTTTACAATTTAAACCATCCTGAAGCGCCAAAGGGGAAAAAAAAATCCTACATATTTCAGAATTCCAGTTGTTCTGGATCTCTCTCATCAACACGTTTCAAACACTCAGCTTTCAGTTCAATCAGCCACAATCTTCTCAATAAATCTACTGGGGTCAGTATGCTGCTCTCATTCCCATCTCCAGGAAATGTTTCAAAATAATAAATAAGCCTTTTTTTTTTTTGCCCCCCCCTTCCGATTTTATTGCCTCTTTACTCCTAACTCTAATTGCCTTTCCAATAAGAGTCTTAGAAGCACTGTGAGGTTAAATCACAGACTCTATAAACATAGTTACAAGCCATATTGATCATCTATAGATACAATAGCTCCAAGTTACTTAAAATATCTCAAAGCAAAAACCACCGAACAGATTTTTATCTGACTTAAACTTTGCAGTTAAACTTCCCAGGCTCAAACACAAAACAAAACAAAAAAACAAAAAACCAAAGCCACCCACCTACACCTTCCCCACCCAGGAAAAACGCCAGGGATTATTCTCAGTGCAGCAAGTTTCCAGTGAAATGAGGGGGGAGAACACACCTAGGGAGGGGAGAGGGTAACACAGGGCTCAAATATTTCCTGGGAGCTGCCACAGGAGGGAAAACTGCGCTGTCAACATGTTTAAAGTCAGATTTGAGAGAGCCGACTCTGTTCTTATAATTTCCCAGCCAGAGTTCAATGAAAAGATCTGGAACCCCCCCCCCATGAATCAGATTTGGGGGGAACATGATAGAGGTACCCCACTTTTTGCTTCAGTGAGAACAGAAAGGTACTGGGACACAGACACAGACACACACACACTCTCTTTCTCTCTCTCCACTATTCATCCAGGGAGTTCTAGACCCTCCAAAGAGCCCCAGCTCACAGCCTGAACACAAAGCTCTCACCCCAGATGGTCCCCTTGTAACAATGGACTGAAGGGGGGGGGGCTCGGAAAGGATAGCACACAGCCAAAGCATATTCTTTGCAAAATCCAGTTGGGAGGGGAGGATGTGTGATGTGAGGGACTAAGAGTAGGGGTCTGAGAAAAAAAAGGTCCTTGCCTGTTGCAGAAATACATATAAACCACAACAATTCTTTTGGGGACAGGAACTCCAAATCCACTTCCCCTAGGGAACTGAAGGGGACCCCCCCCCCCAATCCACTTAAGAATTATGCTAAGGGATGGGTGGAGAAAAAAGAGAAAATGAGGCCTGCTAGAAGTTGCAGCAATGCCCAGGAGATCCAACTCTTCGAAGATTTTTAGCTTCCCCATAAAAATGGCCCCATACACCTTGAATAAACTCCACAAGGCTTCTCCCCTCTTGATTTTTTTCCCTTTTACTTCTCCAAATACCATCTCTCCCAGCCCACCCCAAACCCGGCTTATTTTTTACAAGCTGTAAACCACCCATTACAAGATCTTAGCCAATCTTCCCTCCCTGCCCCCAACATCCGGAGTTGGGGGTGGGAAGGCCAGTAATGGGTTTCTTCCACTGGAGACACTATGGACCCCTTAACACAGCCTCTAAGCGCCCCCAGGTTGCCTCCCTTCTCAAAGAGCCCTTTCCTACCTTTGTTTTTTGGGGACCGAGTGTTCGATCTCTAGGCGTTTTCCTTGCAATTCGACTTTCCCTAAAAATTAAAAAAAAAAAAAAAAA